CATGGAGCTCAAGTCTCAAACCCAGGCTGTCAGCTTCCCAGTTTCCCAGTTCAGCATCTTTATCCACTGAGCCATTGTGCCCATATAATTGAACTTCATATGCTATAATACCTTAACATATTATAAGATAAGAATGTACCTTGTATCTGGAGTCATTTATTAGAGTCATGGAACTTTTGGCTCAATGTTAAGACTATTAAAAAGATTGATAAGGAGTAGATTGTTTGGAACCTATTCCAAGGATTTTCTGGATGAACAGGCAAAAAATTAACTGTGCTTCTTTTTATGTATTTTTAAATCTAATTTATTATTTCTAATAATTAATGTCTTTATATTCATTCAATTCTTGTGTGTTTTTTCATTTTTTAATATTAAAATTGCTTCAAAATAGAAAGTATTATTTTGGATCCTCTCAAAATCTTGACTCCTGCATATTTTTCTATAGGATATTTTTATTTGGTGCTATGTATGATTTTAATTTTTTACTTTTATTGTTTCTTCCCATTATGACTACTTAAACTTCAATGGAAGTTTATTCACTTTTCTTTTTTTAAAAAAAATAATGCCTTATTCTATTTATTCCTTCTGAAATAAATTTATTAATATTAAATGTTAATATAATAAAAATAAAGTAATAACTAGAAGTCAGTATGGGTTTGTTAAAAACAGATCATGTCAAACCAATCTTATTTCATTTTTCAACATAGTGACTAAATTAGTAGACCAACAAAATACTGTGGACATAATATACTTAGACTTCAGCAAGGCATTTGACAAAGTAGACCACAACCTGCTTCTTGGTAAGCTAGAAAAAAGTGGAATAGATAGCACCACCACTAGATGGATTTGTAACTAGCTGACAAATCATATTCAATCAGTAGTCCTTAATGGTATTACTTCTACATGGAGGGAAGTAAGCAGTGACGTTCTACAAAGTTGCATGTCAGGCCCAATGGTCTATAATATTTTGATAAATGATTTAGATGAGGGAATAGAAGGGGAACTTACCAAATTTGTGGATGATACTAAGCTGGCAGAAATAGCCAATACCTGAGATGATAGACTCAAGATCCAGATGGTTCTTGACAGCCTTGAACACTGGCCCCTATCTAACAAAATGAAATTCAATGTAGAAAAAGGTAAAATCTTACACTTAGGCAAGAAAAACCAAAACTACACATATAGACTGGGTGAAACCAGGCTTAATAGAAGTAACTGTGAGAGGGATCTTGGAGTCTTAGGGGACAACCAATTAAATATGAGCCAGCAGTGTGTAGTGGCAGCCAAAAAAGCCAATCCATTCCTAAATTGCATTAACAGAAGGATATAATCAAGATCAAGCGTACTAATACCACTCTATAAAGCCTGAGTAAGACCATACCTAGAGTACTGCATCCAGTTTTGGTCACCACACTATGAAAAAGATGTTGAGACTCTAGAAGCAGTGCAGAGAATAGCAACCAAGATGTTTAGGGGACTGGAGGCTAAAACAAACAAAAATGGTTGTAGGACCTGGGCCTGGCTAATCTAGCGAAGAGAAGGACCAGGGGAGACATGATAGCAGTCTTCCAATATCTGAGGGGCTGCCAAAGAGAAGATGGGATCAAGCTATTTTCCAAAGCACCTGAAGTCCAGACAAAGAATAATAGAAGGAAACTGAACAAGAAGAGATTCAACCTGGAAATAAGGAGAATTTTTTTTGACAGTGAGAACAATCAACCAATGGAATAGCTTGCGTTCAGAAGTTGTGAGAGCTTCATCACTGGAAGGTTTCAAGAAGAGACTGGACTGCTATCAATCAGAAATGGTGTAGATACGGTCTGCTTGGGCTGGGGGTTGGACTAGATGACCCTCCAAACTCTGTTAATCTGTATCTATTCTTACTTGTGGGCAAACAGAATACGAGAACAGGGAGGAGGAAGGAATCTTTGATACACATGACTCTATTTTACAAGCAAAAAAGCCGCATTATATAATTTATTTCCTTTTGATATATTTGTTTTACTTTCTTTTAATCTGTCATATGTTGGGTTTAGTGGGAAAGTTGCTAGGGAAAGCATTTTGTAGGATACTGTAGATGGTGGAAATGAAGACTATGAAGCCACTACACAGAGAGTAGTAGTGGAGCAAAGATTCCAAGGATTTCTGACAACATGATTTGAAATCTCTAAATTTGTATTTCTCCTGGCTGAGCCATTCCACTATAGGATGACCTTTTACTTCTGGAATCAGGTCAATTTAAAGGCATTAAAAGAAAAAATAGTAGACTATGAAGGTATAGTATTGATTTCCAGATATCAGACAAAATATGTTTAATGGCTTGTCACAATTTTGGAACAATTTAAAAGAAATATTGGGTGTTATGTATACTCCAGATTAAATGGGTAAAAAGGCATGCATTATTTCTCTTGCAAGAACAATATAATCTATCTAGCTCTGCAAGGAATTGACTAAAATGAGGCAATTCCAGAATATTTCCTTAAATAGTAGCAGGTAGCAACATTTAAATCAAATTTGAAAGTATAATTAAAACATAGCAGACAAGAATCAAATATATAATTATGATTCATGTATAATATTTTGTTGTTGTTAGTTGTGAAGTTGTGTCCGACCCATCGTGACCCAATGGGCAACATTCCTCCAGGCCTTCCTGTCCTCTACCATCCCCCGGAGTCCATTTAAGCTCATGGTGACTGTTTTCAGTGACTCCATCCAGCCGCCTCCTTCTCCGCCGTCCCCTTCTTCTTCTATTGCCCTCAATCTTTCCCAGCATTAGGCTCTTCTCCAGTGAGTCCTTCCTTCTCATTAGGTGGCCAAAGTATTTGAGCTTCACCTTCAGGACCTGGCCTTCTGAAGAGCAGTCAGGGTTGATCTTCTCTAGGACTGATTGGTTTGATCGCCTTGTAGTCCAAGGGACTTGCAGGAGTCTTCTCCAGCACCATAGTTCAAAGGCCTCAATTCTTTGGTGCTCAGCCTTCCTTATGGTCCAACTTTCACAACCATACCTTGCAACCGGGAAAACCATAGCCTTGATTATAGACACTTTTGTTGGTGATGTCTCTACTTTTTAGTATACTGTGTAGATTTGCCATAGCTTTCCTTCCCAGGAGCAAGCGTCTTTAAATTTCTTGGCCGTAGTTCCAATCTGGGGTGATCTTGGAGCCCAGGAAAATAAAATCTGTCACTACCTCCATTTCTTCATCATCTATTTCCAGGAATTAAGAGGGCCAGATGCCATGATTTTAATTTCCTTAATGTTGAATTTCAAGCCAACTTTTGCACTCTCCTCATTCACCTGCATCAAGAGGCTCTTTAGTTCCTCTTCACTTTCTGTCATTAGAGTGGTATCATCTGCATATCTGAGGTTGTTGATATTTCTCCCAGCAATCTTAATTCCAATTTATGATTCATCTAGCTCTGCCTTTCTCATGATGTGCATATAAGTTAATGTCTGCATATAAGTTAAATAGGCAGGGCGACAGTATACAGCTTTCCTGAACTCCTTTCTCAATTTTGAACCAATCAATGGTTCCGTGTCCAGTTCTCACTGTTTCTTCTTGACCCACATATAGGTTTCTCAAGAGACAAATAAGATGGTCTGGTACTCTTTAAGAACTTGCCACAATTTTTGTGATACACAAAATCAAAGGCTTTAGCGTAGTTAATGAAGCAGAAGTAGATGTTTTTCTGGAACTCCCTGGCTTTCTCCATGATCTGGCATATGTTAGCAATTTGATCTCTAGTTCCTCTGCCTCTTTGAAATCCTACCTGTATTTCTGGTAGGTCTCGGTCCAAATACTGCTGGAGCCTAGCTTGTCGGATTTGGAGCATAACTTTGCTAGCATGTGAAATGAGTGCAATGGTACAGTAGTCTGAACATTCTTTGGCATTGCCCTTCTTTGGAATTGGAATGTAAACTGACCTTTCCCAGGCTTGTGGCCACTGTTGTTTTTTTGCAAATATGCTACCAAATTGAGTGTAGGAATTTAATGCATGCGTCATGTAAGAATTTTGATAGCTCAACTGGAATACTGTCACCTCCACTAGCTTTGTAGTTGCTCAGACTTCCTAAAGCCCATTTGTGTTCACATTCTACATTTACAAACTGATTTACACTATATATTTTCAAAGCCTAAGAAATCCTAATATTTAGATAGTTCTAGATATCTAATTAGATACATGCTGTTGTGTATGAATTTTAAGTTTATGTTGGGGATTTTAAGAGAAAACAGAATAAATATATCGCTAGAATTTTGTTTCTGAAAAATAACTTCATTGGGAGTTGCTCATGAGTTCTTTATGCTCCCCAAACTGGCATATCTCTACAGTTTTAGCAGCTGCCTTGGACAAAGACAAGAAAGCAAATAAGTCTCCAATATATCATTCATTATAGACTATTATCTTCAAATAATAAATTGGTGTGTACAATAAAATAAAAACCCAACTTTTTTATTGCACAGGCTACATTAAAAAAGAGAAATGGTTTGTAGATACTCTTATCAAGATAGAAAAGGATTTAAGATATTTTTTGAACCTCTATATTTAATAAATCCAAATGTTGTACCTGTAGAAGTATCATGCAGCACTGCATTCTAACCACTGTGCCCCCATGGCTCTTATAATACTACATTATTTCAGAGAGATGTGAATAGATCCAGGCTGGATAAGGCTGACATAAGAGACAGTTATGCCCAGAGTTGATGCTATTTGGGGAAGTCTTTATGCATCTAGATTATGAATAAAAGGAAGTAATAAACTCAACTTATGAATACATACAAAATGCAGCATGGAAGAATGTTTAAAATCCAGAAATAAACCAGAAATAATTCCCTAAAAACATTTTTGGTATCTTTACGATTTTATGTATTTATAAATAAAACTCACGTTATTCGAGGTACTTTAAATATAACTGTAACATTTATCTTTTATTCATACTGATTTGAATGGGGCAGAAAGCAAATACAAGTATACGCTTTATTCCAGTTAATGATGGACAATACCTTTATTTCTTGAATGTTCGGGACTCCTTTCCTGCTGAAATTGAAAACAAAGAGAAAAGCAATAATTACTTCATTTGTACTATTTATAAATAAATCATGTTGATAAACATGTTTTTAAAAATTGTGGTATTAATTTTTCTGAACTCATCAGGATTAGATCACTTTAACAATATGTAAAAAACATTGTACTGACCTAGAATGCATAATCCATTCCCATTAGAGTTATTTGAATACTTTCTTGGAGTGGAACATCTTAGTCTATAGTAGCAAAAATACTATGGTAATACTTTTTTTTTTCAATTAATAGATATTTTTAACAGATATTTTGAACTTTCATGAGTAACTGATGAAATGAGCTGCAGTTCACCAAAAATGTGTGTCTTTTTGTAAAAGTGATTTTTTTAAAAAAAGAAATGTTCTAAGGCTGAATCAGTGAATGAAGGAACAGATCAGAAGTTGCAGAAAACTCACACCTATGAGTTCAGGATGTGTTCTTGCTCTTCTCACCCTGTGGCTGCTCCTCTGGGGTGGCGGGGCTGTGAGTGTGAACCGCTGCTCCCTCACACCAGCAGTGGGGCAGTTGACCACCCAGCCAGGAAATGCTGTCCCACTGTCCTGTGCACTCGAGCCAGCCAGGTGCTCCGGACCGCAGATGCATGTCAGTGCCATGGGCTGGAGGGTTGCATCTGTGCAAGAAGCCCACTTGGGCAGGGGTGGGATTCAAATTTGTAACAACCGATTCTGTGGGTGTGGCTTAGGTGGTGGGCACGGCTTGGTGGTCATGTGACTGGGTGGACATGGCTTGGTGGTCCTGTTATTGGCTGGGTGTGGCCAACTCAATATCACTCACTTCAAGGCACGCATCTCCTTGTCTGGCCTCTCATGACTGTGGGGATGCTGCAACAGTCGTAAGTGTGAAAAATGGCCATAAGTCACTTTTTTCAGTGCCACTGTAACTTTGAATGGTCACTCCACACAAGAAAAGCAGAGGTGGTATTCAGCAGGTTCTGACCAGTTCTGGAGAACCGATAGCAGAAATTTTGAGTAGTTTGGAGAACTGGCCAATACCACCTCTAACTGGAGATTTTACAGTATCCTTCCCCTGCCACGCCCACCAAGCCATGCCAAAGAACCAGTAGTAAAAAAAAATGAATCCCACCACTGAAGCAAAGTACCAGCAAAGGAGGGGGAAAAAAACTCCAGAGACCTTCTTAAGACAGGAAGTCTAGTCCTGCCAAGAACGTAATAAGGGTTAGCGGAGAGGCAGTTTCTGTAAGCAACACCAGAATGTTTCCTTCCTGCCTTTCTTACAGGATTAGGCCAGTAATTTCTTCTAACAACCGGTTCTACGAACTGCTTAGAATGTTAACAACCGGTTCTAGCGAATAGATGCAAACTGATAGAATCCCACCCCTGCAGTTGGGCGGGGAGGGAGAGAAGCCCTGGCCTGCCCATCCTGGCTGGCAGCTCTGCTAGGAAAATGATTTTCTGGTTTCTGGCATGCATGCGCTCCGGCCAGCTTGTCTTCACACACGCATGCATGCCAGAAACTGAAAGACCAGGTGGCCAGCACACATGCGTGCTCCGGAAACCAGAAGATCACCTTCCCAGAGCGCACATGCACACCGGGGGCTGCTCTTTTGGTTTTTGGCATGCATGCATGTGTGAAGAACAGCTGGCCGGTGCGCCAAAACCTGGAAGAGCAACGGGCAATGGCTCATGTGCCCGGAGAGATGGTTCTTCATGCCACTTCTGGCACACATGCCATAGGTTCGCCATCACAACTATAGGCAAAACATTATATAAGAAATATTGTATCAGCTTGACTAAGATCTCTAAATCACACTTGGATCACATCCTGGATCTATTTTTTAACTCCTCCATAATTCAAATCATTGAACTTCAAAGGAACCCACTAAAAAAAGAAGCAATTTACCATGCATTTTTCAGAGTAAACCAATGCAAAATAAGTAGTGGAACAACTTATAAAATGTCACACATATACTCAACCTTAAACCTCATTTATAAAATAATAGATTTGCCCAAATGTACAATATCTGTGTTTAGTTCCACTTATTATGGTCTTTGTCTCTAGTCTAACACTCTCTGTGTTTCAACGCATGGTCACGTATGCTTATATCTGAGCTGATATGATATTCTTAACCATTAATATATGCTGCAATTCACTGAATTAAAATGTGACTGTGGTTTGCTATATTGTTCAAATCCAGTCACTATTTTCCAGAACAACTAAATAAACTTGCAAATTGTAAATATAAAGATACATCATTCACATGCACTAATATGATTTTTAATTATTGCAAATATTTGGGAAATTATTTCAAGGACTGGCATATGTACTTTCAATAAGCCCACACTTTGTTCAACCTCTGTTAATTAGCTATTGGTCTTTGAAGAGTAAAAGGTAGTCATATGAGCAAGATCTTTCTTGATTGCAACACACGGGATTTAGAAAACAATTTGAAGAATTGCTTTCTAAATCCTTTTGCTACACTCAAGAAAGATCTTGTTCATAGGACTACCCCTGGAGCTCATTGGTGTTCATTATTTTAATATTTAATATAAAATAATTTGGTCTGCTGTTTACTAAAGGGTTTCATGTACATTTGAAAGTTTCATCAATGACAGAGATTTGATCTTCTATATATGAATTGTATTTAGCTGGGTTGCTATTACAGCCAGCAGTAAACATTTAAACCAATGTTACCATCCCAAGCCTTCTTTTCATTTAGTATTTCATTGTACCAAATAACATTATTAAATGTTTATCTTATAGATGCATATTTTAAATTTCACTGATGTTAGAGCTATGATCCTCTGTAAAAGCAACAGCAAAATCTCACTGGCCTGATTTGTTAGAAGTCAAAAGATGTAGTTAACAGAAAATTATTCCCTGATATTTTCATTTAATATTTTACTTTGAATATTTTTATCAAAAACTATCCCTGATCCTTGACAATATATTTTATTTTTTAAAAATCCTAAATGAATGAAAGTTAAACAGAAAAGTTGATTAACTATCCAAAAGACATGCAGAGGTACACTGATTAATCTTACAAGCCATCTATCTTACCAATGCCTTATTGTAGAGTAAAACTAAAGTTAACTCATTTGTTCATTCATTTCAATTTCTCTATGACACACATCTTATTAGTATCCAAGCAACCATGACAGTATTATATCTCATTGAAACATCAACTGACATCATATTGCATTCTTCGAGTTTAATTTCTAGACATATTTTAGTTTGATAGACAAACTAATTCTATAAAAATAGTCATATTGTTATAAGAATTTGGAAGTACATATGTAAGTCATGTGAACTTGTGAATGATTCCATCGGTACATAGGAATTTAAACAGAGAGATGTCAGACTGTGTAATACTCTGTGCCTTCCATAGATGCAAATGCTGTTCATTTGCCACTTGCATTCAGAATAGTAATACAAAAATCAGTCACCTTAACAACTGCAACATACTGCTTGATTTCAGTTCTACTTTTTGAAAAGAAGTTGATTATTATGATTGTAAAACTAGCAATTACACTGTTTCCAAGGCTTTTTTTAGTGCTTTAAATGTTATTTTATGTTCTTTAAATGTTATTTTATGTATTTTATTTTATGTTTATGTTACTTTGAGCTTATTATAAAAGGAAGAATTAGATATTTAAAATAAATCAATATATATTTTGTACAAAAATTGGTCTGAGAACATCAGCCTCAGTCTTTTCAACCTCTTATCTGATTTAGTATTTGTTATTTGTGGTTTTTTTTTTCATAGCCAGCTTACCATAAAGGTTTTTGACTGTTGTTCCATGCATTTGCAATGGCAATAATATAACACAAAACATTCCTATAACCCAAACAACTTTTATTGTCAGAATACAACATAAGTACAATGAAATTAGCTGAGCTATAACACATAAATGTGTACTATATGTAAATATCATGGCAACAAAAATATAAAATGGTATAAAATGTCCGGAAGAATTTGCTTACATCTTTTTTGACTACAAATATTATTAAAAGGCACACACTTTTTTTCATTAAACTTTTAATAAAGTTTGTCAGTTGATAAAGTTGTTACCATATGCATTTTGCCAATTTTTGACATTGCTATCTTCTAACTATAATAACAAAAAAATTCTTTTCTAAAGAATTATGCCACCTATTTATTTTTTTCCACTCATTTGGCACAGGAGAAAACAGGAGAAAAGAGGCTGCAAACATGTATGACATGCAGCATGCCAGCAATCTAGCTAGCTATGTAATGATTTAAAAACATCACAAACTATCTAACTATAGATCAAATAGTGTTAAAGCTCAGACTGTGCTAAACCATTTTTTACTTTAACTATGATTTTGTGCATATCTCACAGTCCCTAGGCACATACATTTACCAAAATTATAATGGCTTATACAAAACAGGGCTATGGATTAAAAATCATGATGTATTTATTTATTTTGTATTTGTAAATACAGTACTTGCATTTTATTCAAAACCTATGGTAAAACAATTAATTGCTTAGCAAAATGTACGAAGTCATGTTATGTTACATAATGAATCTGTCCACTCACACAGTGTATGGATACATTTCAATTATGGCTTAGTTATAATTGTTATTACAGCTAGGGCTGTAATTAAAATAAAAATAAAAATCATGGTTTACTCTTCTGGATAAGCTCAGTCAAATCAGACATGTCATTATTTTTAACCCAAAGTATTGGGTTCATAAATAATAAATCAAAATCAATATTATGTTACGTGAATCAAATCAATGAGAAATATGAAAAAGACACTACCCTTTCTATCCTATTTTTTCCTTGAATAGTTACACCAAGATTTACAATCTAGATGTCAGCTTTGAAATTCAGCTGCCACATTTAATGGAAGGTGGGGTGGAGGAGTTGAAAAGTTCAAGGTTATTCTGTATGTCGTATTAAGAAATTCCAGTTGCAGTTAATTGGTTCTCGTGATTTATGAAGTGTAGAAGTGGGAGGAGCGAAGGGATGAG